CTGTGAGGTGGAATAAGCAGAGGGTGATGCAATGAAATGCTTCTATTGTCAAATTGTTGTGTTTGGTTTTTCCAATGATGCTGTTTTTTTATAATCAGACTTTTTCTTTCCTGATGTAATTTAGCGCAGGCATATATCACACCACCATGTGGAGTTTTAAACTTAAAGCCATGGGTTTTTGCCTGCTTACGTATGGTTACTCTACTTGGTGTAACACCTGCATCAAGTACTAATTCTTGCTGTCCAGCCAGTCAGCGTGCATTTCATCATCCCACTAAGTTTGCCAGGTAAATACTTTGTATCAGCTGGGTGGCACATAAAGTGTTAGTTTGAGATTGCCATCCCCCTACTTCCTAAGACTGTGAGAATTGAGAATATAACCAGAGCACATGTCATCAGAGAGAAGGAGAGCAAGGAAATAAGGTAATAGCAAAGTGAAAGGGTTGGGAACCTTACTATAGGTAGTTGGAGGTGTTCACATGAGAGGAGTGCAAATGAGGACTGGGGAGACAGGAAATGAAGTGTCAGTGTTTGGTCATTGTTCTGCTTCCCATGAAGATAATTTGCATGTGGTGGTGTACAGTCATAGCTGCTCAGTGCAGATTATCTCATTGCAGCATAAGGGAGGGGGATGAGAAGTGGCATAGCATAATCACTGAACATCTGGCATTCCACAGTAGATGTTATTCTGCTCTCAGAACTGAGCCAGGACTTGCAGTTTGGTAAATCAGACGACTTTTAGGTGATAATGATGAGTGCAGCGTGGGGTTATGCAAGTGGGCTGTCAGTAAATGGAAAAGGATTAGGGAATTAGCTGAGTTTAGGAGTCTAGGACTCTGCAGCAGGGTGAATATGAGCCACTAATGCTAAGTTAAAACAATTTGAATTGTGTCCTCTGTATTGTAATGGCTGAGATCCCACACGTACCAGGCAATCTTCTGCAAAGTGCAGTTTCACCAAATCTCTGCTGACTTCGCTGGGAACTGAGGGCAACAGACTGCTTTCCAGTCTGAGTCCTTCTTAAGCACCAGTTTCTTGGACTGTTGCACCTTTGTCAAGGCTTTTGAAGATGGCATAATGTATTAGTGAAAACTTATGCAGTGGAATTACTTTGTTTCTTTTATTTTTGTTACAGCTTGATTCCTTTTCAGGGGAGAAGTACTAAACTTGCTGAGCCTGATTTTGAACTTGGTGATGGTAATCCAAATAGGATGAGAGTAATGCCTGTAGAAGTAATTAATTTGCTTTGTGAGTAAGCAAATGTCGTAATTGCAATCTTTAATTTTTATAAAATCTATTTAGCACTAAATAAAAGTTGAGTTCCTTCCAATTTTTTTCTTCCTATAGCAGTTGAAACAAATTAAATTGCATATGTATTTTAAGCTTATGTTCGTAATTGCTTTAGATACTCACTCTCATTTTTGCAGCACAAATTTCAGTATAGCCAAGAGCATACACACAAACCAGGAAGCCTAACCTTCCTGAATAGTCTCAAAGATACCTTTATTGCATAGCTCAGAGCACTTATTTTGGGTAGTAGTTAATTTTCTCCCATATGCATCCAAATCACTTTCTGAACTTCTTATCTGTGAAAGCGAAGTAAGAGCACAGTCCCATTTCCCTGACAGACATTAAGTACTTAAAATGGTGGTGGTGCAGATAACAAAATCAGATATTCTTATGATTTCACTTTCTGTTTGTATAACCAGAGTCGAGACTAAGTATTTTGTTGTATCATTTTATAACTTGTAACTTAGCGACCTTACAGATTTTAGGCTTCAACAAAACAACAACAAAAAAGTATTATTTCAATTGTACTGGCACCTAGAGGTCTGTGACCTAATGTGTTAGCTGCTGTATTAGTATACAACACAATCAGTGTTTGCTGTAAAGAGGTGACATTCCAATATATAAACCAGGGAAAAATGAGTGAATGCAGGAAACAGGTAGAGAATTACAAATTGGTAGTAAAATTAATATGACCTAAATGAAAAAAGAAAAAAAAAAAAAAAAAGGAAAAATCCTAAATATGTTTTGCCTTTTAAAGTAATTATCTCTTTTTTAAAATAACATTTTCAATCAGTTGTCATAAAAAAAGGAATGTTATAACTGAATATCTCAATGCAAATGTTTCCATTCATTTCAGGAAGAGCAGAATTTTACTTACGTTTAAAGCAAAATGCATACAGATGTATTTATGTTCTGTTAAAACTGAATTTTAATTGGAATATGTTTTCTGTCACATCCTAGTATAAAGTAGATTGTGCATATTGTCTGTTTTTCAATACATGTATATTTTAAAAGTTGTCCTATATGTTAATAGGTGAAATATTAACCATGCCAGGGGTTGTATTTGAAAGAATGTTAGTGGTATATTCCTATACTAAAACAATTTAAAAGTCAGTTAAAACACACAATCTGATGTTTCTAAAACAGATATTTAGAAACGGTATTTTTCTATATATCAGGAGCAGACAAATGTATATTAATCCAGCAAATCCAAGATTTTCCAAAATGCATTTATTTTCCAAAACACATTTGTGTGTTGTTTGTATGGCCAACTACAATAACATGTCTGAACAAGGTGTGAGTGGATGGGTATGGAGGAGAGCATTCTTTATCTTTCCTCTGATTAGATAGTTTTGTTGAACAACTGGAGCTGTTACTGGTGAACCAAATGAACTTCTGTGATGTCAAGTGGAAAAAGTAGTAGTTTCTTATTGAGAAAATATTTGTTGTTGCATACAAAACATTTCCTCTTTAATTTTCCAGCTGAATTAAACCATTATTTAATCTTACTACACCATTAGCCATGTTACAGTACCAATATGCTACAATGCTGCCCTAAAATTAAATATTGCACTTACTTCTTCAGTCCCATGTATGTTTATGAGAGTCTATTTTCATACCTTCTTAGGTTCTTCTCTTAAACTCAAATAAGCGCTTATGCCTAACTTCATCAGAACTGTTCATGTTGGTTTTGAAACCAGGCAGGATCTGGCAAACCACAGTTAACAGAATCTCCTCAGGAAGCTGTTAGTAGTATGTCTTTAAATCAGTGGAGTCCAGTAAATGTTTTCAATAGTATGTGGCACAAAACCGTAATCATGGAAGTCGCGCCATGCAATAAGAGATTGGCAGTTTTATTGAGTTTTCCTGAGTGACTCTGAAGTAAATACATTTTGTAACTAAATCCCAAATACCAAATCAAATGTAAGAGTGGTTTCCTTCTTTTTCTGATTGGAAAACTAAAGATCACCACCCAAAAATCACCAAATAGTTTGAACTGCATTTTAAAATTACTATGAGGTGTCCTGACTTAAAAATGAGTGTGTCTATAAACATGTATAAAAAACATTTCAATGTGTGTGTATATACACAAATAATGTATGTAATTATATACACATATTGAGATGTTTGTGTTTTTATAGGATTATTACAGGATTATATGGGTGGCCTAAATGCACTTTCAATACCATATTTTTATGTTACTTTTAGAATAAAGGTAACATAAAAGTATGTTTCCTTTAGAGTAAGTCAGCACCTAATATTTTTTTTTTCATTTATTCCATAGAACATCTTTTGTTTCAATGTCAATGAATGTGAAATTCTTACGGAATTAAAAATTTTATATATAATGTAAAAAAATTCATTGAAAATACAATATGTTGTGTTACAGTTTTTATTGTACATATTGTACAAGTGGAAAATATAAATGTTTCTCAACTTCATAGTATGCTGGATTTTCAAAGATTTTATTTTGATGCCATCGTAACAACTGGAAATACCTAAATTGGGTAAGATTAGAAAAAGCTTATTTATAGGGCATGCCTTTTTATTTGTCATTAGCTTGACTTTCTAATGAGGCAGTAAAATGAGAATGTTGCTAATAAAATTTTAATTGTATTTTGTATTGTCTTGTTGCTGAGATTTTAGATAGCATTTTGTTGAAAGGATTGAGAAGTTTAAAAGTGTTATCCCTACACATACGGTCCACAAAACCTGGATAAATAGATATCAGTAGGCTACTAAAAATGCATTTTTGTAAGATAAAGCATCATACCAATTCAATATCATGAAACAGATGGTATATTAAAACTTTGAGACCTATTTGTAAAATCTATACAGAAAACAAAAGCTACAAAAAATATGTATAAATACTAGATTTCTATCTTGCGTGTCAGTCTTCACTCATAGCAGTAAGTCAATAAGGAATAAATTTGTTGATACGAATGAGGTTGTATCCATTTGAAACTTTCATGAAAAGTAGCATTTATAGACAAATATGCTTTGTTTGAAGACGTTCTGATAAGCTTTTTAAGATTTACAGACACTATATTTTATTCTTTCAAAAGCTTCAGCATCTGTATACTCTCTCCAGTTGAACTTCATTTCCATAGGCTGGAAAATAATACACTGTAGCACATAATGAATTTGTGTATACCACAGTGGTTGACAGGTTAAACAATGAAGATCATGTCCCGTTCAAGACCAACTAATACCTGTCCGTGCTATACCGTATTTGCTTTATTTGCTTTAGCCAAGTGGGGTTTTAATTATTGCTACTATAGATGTTTGAAGGGAAGGTAAAGAATTCAGACACCTTTTTTCCTAAGAAGCTGGTTTGCTACCTTAACCTGGAAAGAGAGGAATCAGATGAAAACACTCACTTTGACACAATCAAAGTCAGTCTTTCCATATGAGCAGAATACCTGCATTTGCTTAATCTTTTGGTCTGATATGTACTATGCTGAAAGCAGTACAGTCTGTGGGAGAATAATAAATATGATTTTCCTGTTAATTTATCTCTAATTCTTTGTAATGTACATTTGAAACATGCAGATGAGCTGTATTTTTTTAATATTTTTTAACCTTTTCTTTTAAAACCGTGGTAACTAACTTGCTTCATTCTTTTCCTTCCTTTTATAGGGTAGCAAAAATATTATAGTGTTTATGCACAAAACAGAAGTATTATTTATATATATTTTTTTTAATTACAGGTAAAGATTATAGTTCCCAACAGCACAGCAGGTCTGATAATAGGGAAGGGAGGTGCTACAGTGAAGGCTATAATGGAGCAGTCAGGGGCTTGGGTGCAGCTTTCCCAGAAACCTGATGGGATCAACTTGCAAGAGAGGGTTGTCACTGTGAGTGGAGAACCTGAACAAAACCGAAAAGCTGTTGAACTTATCATCCAGACCACAGAGTGGCAGCTGTCTCAATATCAGTTATGCCAATGTCACAGGTCCAGTGGCCAATTCCAATCCAACCGGATCTCCTTATGCAAACACTGCTGAAGTGTTACCAACTGCTGCAGCTGCTGCAGGGCTATTAGGACATGCTAACCTTGCTGGAGTAGCAGCCTTTCCAGCAGTTTTATCTGGCTTTACAGGCAATGACCTGGTGGCCATCACCTCTGCACTTAATACATTAGCCAGCTATGGATATAATCTCAATACATTAGGTTTAGGCCTAAGTCAGGCAGCAGCTACAGGGGCTTTGGCTGCAGCAGCTGCCAGTGCCAACCCAGCAGCAGCAGCAGCCAATTTGTTGGCCA